GTATCTCAAATTACACTTGACTTCTCTCTGCCCTGGTCACTGGAATGGCAGATAAAAATGAGTGTTGATTTGAGTAATTCAGATGGTATTCATGATGCTGGTTAAGCAAGTCTACCTAAAGAGTTCAGAGAAAAGATAGAAGGCTCCAGATTGCCCACAGATGCTATGAACCATAGGGTCAGGTGACTGCTAGAAAAGAGTGCTGTGCACAAACACAGGAGGGCCAAGACCCTCACATTTGTATTCATTGCTGGCCCAGACATCATGTGGGGTATGGTCCCAAGTACGGATATTTCAGCCTTAGCCAGGCTGGCCTTTGTGTGGAGAGGGCAAATAGGACAATGAAAGCCTGGAAATGAACTTATGAAGAGGAAAAAGTTATGAGAGCCAACCCTGAGAATTTGCCTGGAAAAAAGAACTCTAGTTGGGACACAAATGGAATCTTCAGGGTGCTGAAAGAGGCCTTAGTCTTTTTTGTGGGGGGCTTATGAACACTAGGACTGGTCAGACTGGCAGAGATTCCAGAAGACTGACTATGGTATGATGTAAAGAAGAATTTTCTGGCCATTAAAACTGTACAGCAATCTCCTAGGTTTCCTACACAGCATGAGGAAAGAATTCTCATCACAATAATTAGGAATGTGAAATAGGGTATAAGAGTGTTCCAACAAGGCACTGGGTGATCAGTGGTGAGAAGCAGAAATGGCATCTGGCCCTGAGTAAGTGTGGACACAAGATCTGCATATTCCATTATAAGAATCTGCAATTCTAAGAAACTGAATTATCTTGGATTTATATCATATCTTTCTTTCTTAGAACTTGAGAATATTTTTGCCTCTAGTTTCATAAGAGTCAAGGTATCACAAAACAATTTGCTTATCTCTTTCCCTAAGTGACTTGCCCTGTCTAAACCCTGTCAGCTCACAGGTCCTGAGCCCAAGTCAAAGTGTTTGTGTGTGTTGGGGGGATTTGGCTCAGTGGTTCTGCAGCCTGCCTTGTGAGCATCAGGGCCTGAGTTCAATCCCCGGTAACACACACACACACACACACACACACACACACACACACACACACACACAAGAACAAAGGGTCTGTGGTAGGCATTGTGCCTCTTGAAGTGAATGACATCACTTTAAACTTTGTGTTTTTACTGTATTTCCCTTTTCTTGGCTACTTTAAGAATAAATCAGGTTATCTGTTTACAAAAAAACTTGTGCTGAGTCTCTTACCTCATGGGGCTTGGGTTTCTAGTATGTCCAGCTGTCTTACTCAGTAGAAGACTATGCTTTTGTGGGAGAGATCTTCACAGGGAACTGTCTCTATTGCCTCCTCCCAGAAGCTGCCCAGGTCTTGCTGTCATCCTTCCCCTATATGGTCTTTCTGGGATGCAAATTCAATAGTTTTCCCCATCTGATGTACTTTTTTTTTTGCTCTCATTCTTTCTCATATATGTTTCTTCTAGTTTTTTATCCCCAGTATCCTTTTATGTCCCTGATGTTTCCCTCTTCTTCTGCTTGCCCACAGGAGAGGCAGACATCTGTCATCTCCAGGGGCAGGACTCATGGCCACTCTTTGCAGTCTTCTTTCTTCTCAGACACTCGAATCATTTTGTTTCCTTAACTGTGAACTGTCCACTGTTGGGATGTATTAAGGAGACAACATTAGGACAGCGTTTTTCCAAGGTTGACTGCATGACCAACAGCATTGGAATCCTCTGCCAACTTCTTAGAAATACAAAACTTCAGATCTTCTGACTCATAAACTAGCCAAGGGCCAGCAATATATAATTCTGGTACTGCTGGAGTTTCAGAACTATTGCATTAAAAGGTAGTTTTTGGCTGGGAACTCAGAATTACTCCAATCCTGTCCTTAAGGTTTCAGAGGAAAAAATGCATGTACTGAGAATTGTAGCTGGACCCCAAACCGCAATGTCACACTGTAGTATAGGGGGACTACACAGCAGGTCCTTTTCCTCCACTGTGTTAGTCTAAAGAATCTAGACCTCAAGCACTTCATCTTTTCTTCTCTCCCAGGCTAAACTCAAGATACCTTTCCAATCAAAGATGAGAAAGTGGTGTCACGCTTGCTTGGCAAGTACAAGATCTTCAGATCCCTGGCACCCCCCGAAAAGGACCAAAAAAATAAGAAAGTGGGCTACAGAATATATTGCAATTCAGTGCCAGAGGAAGAAAAGCAGGAAAAATGTGCCTTCTGCACATTCCAGGCTTTCAGAGGCCAACTCAGTAGTTCTGGTAGATCTCCTGCTCCTGGGGAGGAAAGCACTTGATGAAATTCTACAACCACTCATGGCAAGACCTTAAAGGCTATGAGCTTAAGGGAGCATCATTAATGTAATAAAGAATAATAGAATAAAAATCTATGCACCATACACACTTAATAATGAAATATTTAAGACTTTCCCTTTAAGGAAGAAGACAGGCATGAACCATTATACTTCTCTTCAATATTTCCCAGAGATTTTAGCCAGTAACTTAACAAAAGGATACTAAAGACAGAGGTCTTAAAAATTTTTAAACGATCATTAAGTGTTGATAACATTATAATCATATTATCTACATATGAGCAGTTAGGATTTAGTAAGAGAATTTATCCAAGTGGCTAGATATATAGAGTGTGTAAAGATAATTTTGCATTTCTGTTAATCATCAAAAACAGAAATGTATAATTGGTAAATAGATACTGCTTGTAGAAGTGGCAAAAATCAGTTTCTCAGGAATGAGGTGAACTAAAGAAGTGCAAGAACCTTATGGAGAAAAATTCAAGTTTGTGGAAAGACACTGAAGAAAGTCTAAAGAAATAGAATCATTTCCCATGTTTATGCATGGGTGACTCAATGTTGTCAGGGTGTCAGTTTTTCCCAGACTTAGGTAGAACTCACTACAGTTCTAATAAAAATCTCAACAGCTGTGTGTGTGTGCTACATGCCTGCAACAACCAACCGGGTATTGTGGTATGTGCCTGTGATCCTACCCACTCAGGTAACTAAGGCTGGAGGGTCACTTGAACCCACAGATTTGACACCAGCCACGGCAACATATCAATACTCTTCTCAAAGAATGTTATATGGATGAGCAAAAGTCTGAGGAAGAGAAGGCTGTCCAATAATTATTGGGACAACTAGAAAAAATGAATTTGGACCCTTGGTCCTATCATATACAAAAATCAACTGTAAATAGCTTAAAGATTTAAATGTGATGGGCATAATTTTAAGAGACTTAAAAGCAAGCATAGCTTGGAGTATAGAAACATGTCTTTTTTATTTAAAAAGGCAAAAACTTGCTGGGGCGCACAACTGTAATCCCAGCACTTGGGAGGCCGAGGCAGGAGGATTGCTGTGAGTTTGAGGCCAGCCAGAGTTAAATAGTGAGTTCAAGGTCAGCCTGGACTACATAGTGAGAGCGTGCCTCAAGAGAAAGAGAGAGAGAGAGAGAGAGAGAGAGAGAGAGAGAGGGAGGGAGAGAGGGAGAGAAACTATGAAAGAAAATGATCCTATAAGGTAAAAAGACAAGGCAGAAACTGGAAGAGGATAGCTACAGCAATACAACTGAAGAAAATTAGTTTCCAGGATGGATAGAGCAAATAGAACCCACTCACTGGGAAAACAATGGTCACAGGACATCAACAGGCATTTCATGGAGAAAAAAATATGAATAGACAAGGAAGCACATACTTACAGGTAATCAGAGTAAAACAAGTGGGCAACACGTTACTTCAACAAGCGTTTCACCAAATGGTAAAATCATTTTGGAAATGCATTTTGCATTGTCTTATGAAAGCTTCATGCTTTATTCCTAAGTATAATTACCCAGAGACTCTTGCACATGTGCCAAAGAGTCATGTAAGATAATGTTTGTAACATTTTTTTCTCATTGAGTTTATTGGTACTTTTTAGGTATACAGGACAGTCACATTCATCATTGGGATCTTGTACCTTTACATGATGTAGCTTGGTTCTCATTTTTTCGCCATTCCCCTGCCCTCCCTTCACCCCCTCTGCCCTCCCCTATTTACAAAGACCTTGTTTCCATTTTTTCCTTTTCTCATATTTTTCTTTTCCCTTCTTTCCTTTCCCCTACCTTCCACTTCCTCTACTCCTTTAGCCCTTTTCTTCCTATTTCACATTATTAGTGTTACAATTTTAACCTTATTCACACTTTTAGTTTTTCACACCAAAGAAATTACGTGGTATTTACTCACATGCGTCATAACATTTTTTTTTTAGAACAGTGGGAAACTTCAAATACCAGTTGCTCCACTGACAGAAAAATAGATAAATTAATTTTGGTACACTCACAAAGTATTCAATACATTAGTCAATGTATTATTTACAGATACAGATATTTCTGGTATGTTGTAATATCTATCTGCATTAAGAAAACAAACCTTTGCATTCTATTAAAAGTAGCAGAGATTATGAACTATTTTCCTATGAGGCGAAAAACACAAAAATGTAGCTATGTAACCAGAATACTAATAAAATTAATAAAAATCCTAAAAACACTATGATAATTGCAAGACATATTAAATTCTTAATATATAAATACTGCTAAAAGCACAAGAATTAATCTTATAGAAAAAAGAAAACTAGCTTTTTAGATTTTATGTTTTGGGGTTCTAGAGATTGAACCCAAGGTCTTGCATATGCAAAGCACACACCACTTTTGAGCTCAATCCCCATCCCAAAAGATAACGTCTTAGGAAAAGTTTTAAGGAAGGGTTGAGGAAGCTACCTGAGGATACAATGCCTGGATTCAGAAAGAAGGGTGTAAACAACACTTTCAAATAGAGTGCAAGCCCACATGAGCTGTATTCAATCCTGTAGGAGACAGGCTTCACATACCGGAAGTGCCGGCCTGCTCCTTTCAGCCATGTTAGGCAATCTGTGGTCAGCTACAGTCCCGGGTAGCACAGAGCGTTTATGTGTTGGAAAATATCTTTTATACACAATGGCATTTCCATGTATATCCGAACACAATTACCTTGTTTACCAGTTCGTATGAATGGATGTGTATTACAGCAACGGAAGTTGTAGCGTCATGAACTGAACAAACATGTGTCCTAAAGGAAAGAAAGGGAAAGGGAAACCCAAATTCAGGAGTGGTTGTCTCCTTTGAGGAAGGCATAGGAGAGACTGGACTAGGGGCACACAAGTGCTCCAAAGAATTATTTTTCTGCTTTGTAACAGCTAAAACTTGGAAACAGCCCATTTGCCCATCAGTTGGAGACTGGATAAAGAAGATGTGGTTTTTCTATAAAATGGAATATTACTCAGCCATAAAGAATGAGAAAATAGATTCATTCATAGGAAAACGGATACATATGGAGGATATACTCCTAAGTGAAATAAATAAGTCACACATGTGCAAATACCGAATAGTTTCTCTGGTGTGAAAAACTATAATAGTACATAAGATCCTAATGAGATAATTGACAATGTGAAATAGGAAGAAAGGGGCTAAAGGTGTAGGGGAAGTGGGAAAGGTAGGGGGAAGCTAATAAGGGAAAAGAAGAAAAAATGAGAAAACGAAAAACTGGAAATAAAGTATTTGTAAATAGGGAAGAGTGGAGGGGTTGAAGGGAGGGCAGGGACAAGGGGAATAAATGAGAACAAAGACCTGACATATAAAGGTACAAGATCCCAATGATGAATGTAACTGTACTGTATACCTAAAATGTACCAATAAACTCAATGAGAAGAAAAAAAGAAAAGAAAAAAAAAAGGAAAAAATTAATTTTCTGGAGCTGAGTTATGGGTATACATGTATCCATTTGGTTTTTATTCTTGAAACTATACTTAGGCTATATATTATCTCTAGTGAAGACAGGGCTCATAATGAAAAGTCAGGCAAATATGTTTCATAGCAATATGTCAGGAAGATATAAAACGAGCATTCAGAGATTGAAGTTAAGTAACTTACTAAGAAAGAAAACTAGGATTTTTTTTGGTTTTAAATATATTTGCTGAATGAAAAAATACTAAGCATTGTAAAAAAGGCAAATAGCAAAATTAAAAATAATCCAAACAGTTTATCCCTGAGACCTTATTTTGGTGAAAAAATATGTATAATTTTATAGAACTGGGATCCATATTGTATGATCTGGTTTGCAACCTTTTTAGTCAAAAGTATGTATTTATTATTATAAATATATAATAATTATATTTAATAACTTAATCATAGTTCACAGTAGGTATGCGTAAAAGTTTATAGTTAACCGTCTATTGGGCATTTAAGATATTTTTATTGTTTTACTGGTGCAAATAACATTTCAATTAGCTTATTTTCAAATACTTCTTTAACAGTAGGATTCAAGAGGTAAAAGTGATGTGTGAGTAAGCAGTGTTTTGGAAAGGGCTGGAAAGGGATAATGTACTCTTGATAAATATAACTTGGGAGGCTGAGGCAGAAGGATCAAAAGTTGAGCCTAGCCTGGGCAACTTAGCCGCTTAGAGAGACTGTGCTTCAAAACAGAAAGAGCTGGGGATGTGGCTGTGTATGAAGGCCCTTGGTTCAATTTCCGGTACCACAAATCAAAACCAACACCCTTGTTTTTTTAAGTAACATTTTAGTGTTTTAATAGAGGAACTGATAGTTGATGCTTTGTGTCCATATTTTGTCTTCTGAGTTAAGCTGTTCCTTTGATCCTCAATATGCTCTAAAGAAAAGGCAGACTCCACAGTATGCTCGGAAGTCTGAGTGGGGAGATGTGATGTTTAAAAATCTCAACAGACACTTCAGGGAGAAGCAAATCAAAGGTGCAAGTGCTTAGACTAGGGATTGCCAAGCGTGTGGTGCAGGCAGGGAAGAGCATAGATAGCTGTGAGGCAGAAAAGTGGACTCTAGACATAGAAATGGGGGATGAACAGGGATCCCTGGAGGAATCTAGCAGAGACATGAGCACAGAGATGAGAGCAGAGGGCAAAGCTGAAGAAAGGATGGAGGCCCCTCTGAAAGCCTGAAGGAGGGGAGGGGAGGTGATGGGTACGGGAGATCCATGTGGGTGAGTAGCAGTCAACAGCACAAGGCAACTGGGAGGCAACCTGGTCAGGAAACCGAAGCCCACTGGGCTGAAGAAGAAAATGAACGCAAGCCTGCATTAAGAAAGCAGTTACTGAACAGACTGAGAAACTAGAACTCACCTGTCTGTAGAAATGCTCATTGGGTTGCGTGGGACATTATAAACATAAACTGGGAGTACTGGTAAATAAAAACAATGGTCAAAGATGTGTAATTAAAAAGTATGGGATTTCCTTCACAACAGAAATGAAAACAAAAATAACTACTGCTTCAAAGGAAAAAATAAGGGGTGCCAGGGTTTACCAAAGCAGGGAGTGGAAGGAGTTAGAAAGGCACTGGGTTAGTTTAGATCAGGAAATGGGTTTGATGAGGTTGTGAATGTCCTTCCTGAGCCACACAACGTTGGACAAGAGCCCAGTCTTCTGCAGGTATTTCCATCGCAAGTGGCTAGCTCCCAAGCTCAGCCCAGCGGGCAAGGAGCAAAAACAAAAACCTAGAGAAGTTGTTAGCATAAAACCCCATCAGAGGAAAGGGCCAGGATGGTGTTGGGAAGAATACATCTAAATGGGATGTGTTGTCCAAGATTATAAGCTTTCTCCTACAATAAGAGTAAGTTCTAAGGATCCCATGTACAGCATGGTGGCCACAGTGAACAAAACTATACTCCATACTTAAAATTTGCTGTGAGAATAGATCTTCAGTGTTCTCCCACACACACGTGATGTGATGGATATGTTTGCTAACTTGATTGTGCCTAATTGATCGATCATGATGTATAAGCTTATCCAACTGTCACCCTGAAAACCTTAAATTGATATGATTTTATCAGTTACACCTCGATAAAGCTGGGGAATGCTATGCAGATATTTTTCCTATTAAAATAATAATTAAAGACACATGTAAAAAAAACCTAAATTTCAATAAAGGAGTAATCTAATAATTGCTATGTCATTACAGCAAAAAAAGAGAAAAAGAAAAAAAACTGGTCTCATTCCAACTCTTTTAATCTCACAACAATTCACATTTTTAATATATACTACATATTTGTTTCTCTAGCTCGTATTATTGCTTTGGAATTGGTTTATAGTATCTGTTTGCACAAAAAATAGATTTAACCTGAAATCCTATGTCAGTGACTATTCCTCGAACACATTGCTGTGTCTCTGAAATGTTCTTTCTCAACATAATTTTTCATGGTTGCTGTGTGCTTTACCAACCTCATGCATCAGACTTGAGCCAATTTCTTTAAAATACATTGTCCAGTCTTTTAATGGCTGCAACAGCTTGATTGGGTTTGATTATAGCAGATTCGTACAGAATATGCTTTGATCATGTTCACTCTATCACTTCCTTGCTCTAATTCTGTAATTTTGGTGGGCTGTTCAATGTGTAAAATATATCTCGCTCATGTCCTTCCCCTCATTATTGATAATTTTCTTAGCAAACACTCAGGACTTTTTATATTAAAGGTTAAAAGATTTTAAAAGCTTTTCGCATGTATAGCTAAACTGCCCTCTAGAAAGGATGTTTTCATTTATACTCTCACAGCATAGCAGCACAGGATTTTTGGAAAACTCATTCCATGTTTGAGGGAAAGAAAAAGGATCCCCAAAAGTACATTTTTACTGTGGGCTTTGGAATTATACAAATGGAACTTGAATGTAGGCTGTACAACTTACTAGCCATGAAGCCTCAGGCAGGTCTCTAAACCTCAGTTTCCCCAAATGTATTGGGAAAATATCTACCCCAGCTTTTGATTGAATCAAACAAAGAAATGTACGAAATGCTTAGTACAACACCTGGCACATTATTAACACTAAGTGAACAGTAAGTGGTATTCTTCAAAATCTTTTTACCAAAGGTTCTACCATGAAAGAGTACCACATGGAATTAGGCACAAAGAGACAGAATTCAGATCACCGGATACAGCAAAGGAAAACTTCAAGACCACCTCCTAGCTGATCATAAATATGGATAAAAGCCTCTGAGCAAGAAAATGAATCTAAAATGATGTAACAGTGGTGGTGCCATATAGCACAGTGCCCAGCGAAGACATCACACAAATACAAGCCCTAAGTGTGCGGTGGAAGAGAGTGCCGAAAGAAACCTCCTGTGAGGCCTATGTGCTCTATAGACTTCACAAGAAAATAATGATAAGCCTTGCAAAAGGCATTATCGCAAGCCCTAGGACATATAAATTGGGTGCTGTCAGAGTGGGCTGAAAATGTCACCCAAGCAATAATAGGAATGATGACCTCAAGAAGCAGGAAAGAAGGGATGGGGGAGGCAAGAGGAGACAGGAGAGTGTGGAGGAAGAGGAAGGAGGAAAAGAAAGGGGACAAGGAGGAGGGAAGGAGAAAATAACCAAAGTGTACAGGCCAAATGAGTGAGTCCACCATGGTGGCCTCAGCAGGCCTCAGCGGGGCAAGGGGCTTGACACACACACAAGCTGGAATGGGCAGGTGAGGACTCTTGGCGTAGGGTGGATGGCGACAAGGATGGAGGGTGAAACTGAGAAGTACATAATGAAAATGGAATCAGAGTACATACAGAAGGAAAGAACATTTCAGGAAGCATTCCGGGGAAAAGGGTTATAAGCCATGGCTGGTGCCTATCGGCCACATGCGGGGTCTCATAGCAAAGTTCCTTCTCATGACAATGTGGGACAAAATGGGGAACCCTAACAAGCCACGCTTGGCTGGAGTGCAGGGTGAAAGCTGGCCCAGATTTTGCCTTCTTGTCAGCATGGCTTGATGCACTAAGGTGGGAAGAGACCGTGGTTGAGGTAGGGGACAGAGAAGGACAAGAGTGGAAAGTGGAGGTGAAGTAAGCAATGGGTCCTCACCCATGGCTTGCAGGAGGTGAGCCCCACCTCCAAGGAGCCCCAAATGCAGTTAGGAAAACAAAGTCCTCTGTTATGAATAAACACGCACACATGACAAATGGGTGGGGAGGAAGAGCATGCGCAGGTGAGCGTAGGC